CCGCTTCCACTGGCAGGAGCAGGACCATCCTCATCCATGCCTGCACCAGCATCACCACCAGCACCTTGGTACATCTTAGCGATGATGGGATTGCATATGCTCTCCAACTCCTTCATCTTGTCCTCAAATTCATCGGCCTCACCAAGTTGGTTCCCATCCAGCCATTGAATGGCTTGATCAATAGCATCTTCTATTTTCTTCTTATCATCGGCAGGCAACTTGGAAGCAATCTTTTCATCTTTAATTGTGTTCCTCATGTTATAGGCATAATTTTCCAAAGAATTTTTGGCTTCCACCTTTTTCTTATGCTCCTCGTCCTCGGCCTTGTATTTCTCAGCTTCCTGCACCATCTTTTCAATCTCTTCTTTGGAAAGCCTTCCCTTGTCGTTGGTAATTGTTATCTTATTCTTTTGTCCAGTGGTCTTGTCCTCTGCAGACACGTTCAATATACCATTGGCATCCATATCAAAGCAGACATTGATCTGGGGAACACCTCTCGGGGCAGGAGGAATTCCAGAGAGCTCGAATTTTCCGAGCAAATTGTTATCGCGAGTCCTCGTACGTTCACCTTCATAGACCTGAATCAACACACCGGGCTGGTTGTCGGAGTATGTTGAAAACACCTGCTCCTTCTTGGTGGGAATGGTTGTGTTTCTGGGAATCAACACAGTCATGACACCTCCTGCTGTCTCCAAACCAAGGGAGAGAGGGCTAACGTCCAACAAGAGAAGATCCTGAACTTTCTCATTACCCTCGCCACTGAGAATAGCAGCCTGCACTGCAGCACCATACGCAACAGCTTCATCGGGGTTGATGCTCTTGCAGAGCTCCTTCCCATTGAAGAAATCCTGCAATAACTGTTGAACCTTGGGTATCCTGGTGGAACCACCGACAAGAACAACATCATGGACTGTGCTCTTATCCATCTTCGCATCTCGCAAACACTTCTCCACGGGCTCCATGCATTTCCTGAAGAGATCCATGTTCAGCTCTTCAAATCTGGCACGGGTGATGGTTGTGTAGAAGTCAATGCCCTCATACAAGGAATCAATCTCGATGGTGGTTTGAGCAGTGGAAGAAAGAGTCCTCTTCGCCCTCTCACATGCAGTTCTCAACCTCCTCAATGCTCGCGCATTTCCACTAATATCCTTCTTGTTCTTCCTCTTGAACTCCTGAACAAAATGGTTCACCATTCTGTTATCAAAATCTTCACCTCCCAAGTGAGTATCTCCAGCGGTGGCTTTCACCTCGAAAATTCCTTCCTCAATGGTGAGAAGAGACACATCGAAAGTCCCACCACCAAGGTCAAATATGAGAACGTTCTTCTCCCCAGAGGTAGTGGCCTTTTTGTCAAGCCCGTAAGCAATGGCAGCCGCAGTAGGTTCATTGATAATACGCATAACATTGAGCCCTGAAATGACCCCAGCGTCCTTGGTAGCTTGACGCTGTGAGTCATTGAAGTAAGCGGGGACAGTAACCACGGCATTCTTCACTGTGGATCCGAGAAAGGCCTCCGCAATCTCTTTCATCTTGATTAGAACCATGGAAGATATTTCTTCGGCGGAAAACTGCTTTTCCTCCCCCTTGTAATTTACCACAATCATAGGTTTGTCACCGGCACCAGAAACCACTTTGAACGGCCACAATTTTATGTCACTCTGTACAGAAGCATCACTAAGACGTCTACCAATCAAACGCTTAGCATCTGCGCCAAAACAAATGAACACAATCAGCAGATGATTCGAAAAAGAAAAAAAAATAATTGTCTGATAATTGAGGACGCTTTTGCACGGGTAATTCAATCAAGTAATCATTTAACCAAAACTTTCATGGAAACACAAAACAGCTCAATCAAGTGCTTCAACTTATCATGCAAAATCTAAACAGTTCAATTAAGTGCTTCAAACTAACCATGCAAAATCAAACCAGTTAAATTATGTGATTGTTTAATAAACCTTACATCGCTAAAACGCAGCTACAAAAATCGACTAACAATCCAATTGCATCGCCAAGGATTCTTTTACACGGCTTATTTTTTGTGAAGTAAACTCTTAGAAACACAAAACAATAACTACATGACTTCACTTCTCTTAATTTTCTTTATGTAAATAAAAACGAAAGAATCATGACAATAATACTGACTAACAGCAGTTATATTAGAGAGAATTAGAACTTGACCTAGATCGACATAAATCTGGACAAGTTGACTAAGAAATCAATTAAAGTGACGACAACTGCGGATAAGCAAGGTATTACAGGATGAATTGAGAGTGCTTACCGAAAACAGTGTTGGTTGGGTTCATAGCGACCTGGTTCTTGGCCGCATCGCCGATCAACCGTTCTGAGTCAGTGAAAGCCACGTAGGATGGGGTAGTTCTATTACCCTGATCATTGGCTATGATTTCAACACGATCGTGCTGCCAAACACCGACACAAGAATAGGTGGTTCCCAAATCGATTCCGATCGCAGGACCCTCGCCTTTACCGGCCATATTTTCTGCTCACAACTGTTTACCCTAACGGAATTAGAACTCGAATTGTAGAAAAAGGAATTAAAAACTTCCGGCAATTTCTTGAACTGAATTGGGGAGGAAGAAGCAAGTGGTGTCTTTTAAAGAACCCCTTAAAATTCTGGAAGGTTCGGTTGGTTGCGTACCGTTGGATCAGAAACTTTGGACGGTTGGATATTTTGTTTACTAGTGAAATTGGAGTTGAGAAAAAGCGAGGTATTGCGTGGGGTGTGTGGGGTATCTCCTACGTCCTCTAGGTGGTTCCAGAATTTTCCGATTTCGAATCCACGGTGGCTTGGCACGCGTTGTATCCAAACACGCTTAAACTAAGATTCTTATAACCGTTGACGAGTCGCCGTCGCCTTTTTTTACGTATTGGATAGATTGTCTTTGTGATTCTCCCGCGCTATTGGCCGAGACAATAACATCTTTATGCCTTTTAGATAACAGACCAATTGAATTTCGCCAAACTCCACGCATTGACACAGTAACATCTTCTATGTTTTTTCCTTTTAAGGTATATATTTAACCTATTATATAAAAAAAAATCTTTTCAGTTTACTGATTTTATTTTCACCTAAAAGTAAAAATATTTTGATGGTTGATGTATTTTGAAGACCAAGTTTCTAATAAAAATGGATAAATATTTAGTTATTCTTCATGAAGATTGATGATATATTGTAATTTTTCATATAATATATAATATTTTTCATTTATTATGTTTTTTTTTTTAATTTTAGCATTTATTTTTACCTATTATTGTTTTCATTTCAATATTTTTTTATTTTATCATAAATTGTCATATATTTTTTATTTATAGTAATTTGATTTTTTTCATGATTAATTATATGTTATATTTTTATTATTTTTTTTTGTTATTATATATACAAATTTGTAATTGCTAATAAGGTATAACGTTTTATACAATCAAAAGTCTATAAATTAAACATGACTCGAACTATACCTCATCTCGCACGAAACTATATGCCTAATAATTATAAGCATATATGGGAGCAATCAAACAAAAGTTTGACTACTTTTAAAAATAGGGTTAAATATGTTTTTAGTCCCTAAACTATTGGCCGTTTCTGGTTTTGGTCCCTCTTTCAAAGTAAGGTACAATTTGGTCCTCATTCTTTTCTAAACGTTCGTTTTAGTCCTCGAAAACTAAACACTGTTTAAAAATTTGGTCCTCATTTAGTAACAAATGAAGACTAAAACCAAAATTTCGGGAATTAAAACGAACGTTTCGAAAAGAATGAGGACCAAATTGTACCTTACTTTGAAAGAGGGACGAAAACCAGAAACAACCAATAGTTTAGGGACTAAAAACATATTTAACCCTTAAAAATATGGTTTTCTGTTTATTCGTGTATGCAATTTAAAATAAAACGTCATTTATCCTAGCATTATGGTCGTTAAATTTGTTACTAGTCCTACTTATGCGTCGAATGCATTGCTTTCTTAGAACTATAATTTTTTATAAATTGTAAATAACTTTTTTAACTGCAGTTTAAAACACAAAACTCTAATTTTGTCATGATTTTAACCACGAGTCCCACAATTACTTTATCAAGCTATAAGAATGTAGGGATAATACTTAATCTTAGATTATGAAACCAAAAACAAATTAATTGTTAATGAGCAATCAATTTTTTCATTAATAAAACAATTCTTAATTTATTGTGGAGGTCTATTTAAATTGGTCATTGAAAACAGAAACCTTTTTAGATTAACCATTAAAAACAATTTAGATTAATTTGTATATGTTGTTCCAACTTTATAACATCTTAAATTCTTCTCGATTTTCTCTAATGAAAATGAAAAAAAAAAATGTAAGAAAAAAAAATGTAAGTAAAAAAATTTAAATACTTACGAATAGAAAATATGATCTTTTTTATATAATTTTTGTCAATTACTTTTTTTTTAAAATTTAATATTTATAATTTGATTTCTCAATAAAATAAAATCATATTCATGATTTATACACTATAAATCTTTTATTTATTAATGTAAGAACTTAGAAAATAGATGTATTATATATTAGCTATAATTTAATTAATTAGATCATCTTGACTAATAAAAAAAATTATTATAAACATGTTGCTTTTTGTTAAATAATGAGTAATCTAAGTAGTGTCCAAATAACAGTTAGCAAAAGAAAAATTAAATTATATCTACATATATAGAAAGAAAATTCCAATTTACTTTTTTTAATATTTCGTTTTGAATATACCAAATTTAAATAAAAAAACGTGAAAATTTACTTTAAATAACGTTTTTTCTCATAAAAAACTGTATGTATTAAAATAGATTTATCCATCAATTTAATTTTCTTAAAACATATAGTTTCAAGCTTTTGAATAATATTAATAACTCTTATGGTATAAGCAAAAATTCCAACATTACACCGAGGCTGTGAGGAAAGTAGCCACTTGCCATTTTCCATTAACTGAAATGAAATATCTGCAAAATGACCATAAAACCCCTAATCTATTGACGTGTCACTCAGTCGGTGGCTGAAAACGGAGAGGAAAATCTGGCTCTAGCCATCGTGCACCATGTCATTGCCTCGCAGAAAATGGGGATAATTCGGAAAATATTCCCTCATCTCTAATCCGTTATGAGAAGCTGAACCATCCTCTGCACAATCTCCTTCGAAAGCTTCTCATCCATGGCGAATACACTCATTTCGTCTCCTTCGTTCCTCGGCACGCCTCTTCCCTCGCTCCAACGCCACCACCGCACCACCACCAGGCTTGTCGCCACCAAGGTCCACGTCAGCCTCCACCAAATCCCCCCTCTCCACTCCATAAGCCACTCCATCGACTTCGTCGGTATCGCCACCAGAGCTGAAGGCCTTCTTTACACTCTCGCTGACGCTGCGGTTGCGGCGGACCCGGCTGCTCCCGCCACTGATGCTGCCGTGCAGAAGAACGGAGGCTGGTTCGGCTTCATCTCCGAAGCCATGGAGGCTATTCTCAAGGTAAACTTCGTACTCGTGCATGTTAGTTTTTAACTTCCTGAGTAGGGATTATTTGGTATTTGATAAAAGTTAGCGAGTTGTGTGACGCGTCACTTGCGGAGCACGAGCCTCGAAATTCATAGAACTTGTGTTTCTCGAGATCGTGTGGCTTGCTTAGATGTTGGTATGATACTCTTGGTCGTTGAGTTCTTATTAAGGAGAGAGATCATTGATGCTGAACTAAGTGATGTTTGGATAGACTTTTATGTAAGAAGAAAATAAGAAGGTAATGTACTAAATATGTTTAAGCTTATTCCGTGTAAGTTAAAACTAGTTCATGCATCACTTAAATAGAATGTTGGAGAAACGAGCTTCTTTAAATTAATCCATGCATAAGCTAATAACTTATGGAAGAAGTTTAATTCAGTGTGCTATGTTCTTCTCATGTAAATGTTCATTGAGAATTTTATTTAGCCAAGGCCGAGGTTTACTAGACCCTTGTTTGGGTAAAGTTCTCTCATAGAATAAGAAACTTCTCTCACGAGCTTAATCAACGTACACACTTCAGCTTTTACAGAAATCAGATAAGAGAACTTCAAGAGAAGATAAGTGCAAAAGTTGACTTAGTTAATAGGAAAACCTCTATTCATTTTACATTTTTTATATTCTTTCCCTATAAATTTGTAGAGAACTTATTCGAATAGAACCTAGAGAATAGAGAATGATGCTAATATTGTTAAATTCGTGGCAACTTCTGTTCCTGAGATGATATTTTGCAGGGCATGTGTTCAGTGCTCGCTTTTCAGCTGTGAATTCGATTGATAAAAAATTTCATGCTGTAATATATTATTTGTTTCATGGGAAGCTATACTTGGAATAGTAAATAGTGCTGTTTGTTTATAATGGATGGTATTCTAACTTCTGCGAGACAGTTTACGAACTACACAATTCACTTGGCAAGGTCCTTTGTTTGCAATTGATGTTATTTATAACAAAAGAAAAGAGGAAAACAAACTACCTAACTATAGGAAGCTCCCTTACTTCTTCTGTTTTAATAATTTGATGAATTTAACATTTTATTACTAAATGTTTGCTTGTTATTATTCAGGTACTTATATGTTTTTTTGTGGTTATTTGTTCTTGTTTTGGTTTTCAGGTGTTGAAGGATGGCCTTTCTGCTGTGCATGTGCCTTATGCATATGGATTTGCTATCATATTACTCACTGTTATAGTTAAGGCTGCAACACTTCCCTTGACAAAGCAACAGGTTGGTACAAATTAAGCAATTTCTAGGGCCAAAGGAAGCACGATAAATTTACAAATTTGCTGCAACCTTTAAATTATGTAAATCACTTTGTTTGAAACAGTTTTTTCCCATCTCGTTGGATTGAAAGGAATATTTTATTCTTCAAAGCCTGACATACTCTATGAAAACATTTTTAACAAGATCACAAACTAAATATGAATTTGATCTCTTGATTAACATATGTGTTGCAAATCCTATGGCGATTAGAAATTAGCCTATAATATATAAGTGAGGTGCAATCCTTAATTTACAAATCAGGTAGAGTTAAAGTATAAGCCTACTTGTTAAGAATATGTTTCGTTTGATTACAAGAACTGAGGATTTTAATTAAATCTATACAGGTTGAATCTACATTGGCTATGCAAAATCTTCAACCAAAAATTAAGGCTATTCAAGAAAGATATGCTGGCAATCAGGTGAGGGGTGTTGTTGGCTATTAAGCATCCATTTCGATCTTGAGTAAATATTGATTCATTTTATCTTATAATATTGTTGTTTCTAAACTATTCATTTTCTTGGCCTCTTTTTAAGGAAAGAATACAGCTTGAGACATCAAGGCTATATCGGCAGGCTGGGGTTAATCCATTGGCAGGTACTTTTGCTCTTAGTTTCGGTGCATGTTCTTCAACACTGTTTTTGAATAGTACCTTGACTCATGAAGCTAGTAAGCATTGGTTCTACGTTCATAATAAAACGACTGTGCTTGTGTATGATGACAAAAAATATATGGTTTTGAAGTAAGAGTTCTTACCAACAGTAATTATTTGATTTTATTTTGTTCATCCATATTGCTCCTGAACCTGACCTTTCTTTTAATAATCAGTAAATAGTCATATTATCTTAGTTTGGATTTTGTACATATTCTATTCAGCTACTGACGTATAGACTCAACTTCTACTGCAATGGCATCAATTTGTATAGGTTGTTTACCTACTTTGGCCACAATTCCAGTCTGGATTGGTCTCTACCAAGCATTGTCAAATGTGGCAAACGAGGTAATTACTCACTATTAGCTTTTATTATTTCAGCAGAAATTTTGACGGACAAATTACTCACAGAAAATGTTTATGTTGCTAATTATGGAAACCTTTAATTTGAAGGGACTATTGACTGAGGGTTTCTTTTGGATACCCTCTTTGGCTGGTCCTACTACCATTGCTGCTAGGCAAAGTGGAGCTGGAATTTCTTGGCTTTTTCCATTTGTGGTAAGACATCTTTTTCTTTGTTGGTGAAATAAAAAGTTGTAGTTGGCCTTTCTTTCCAATGTCCTATGAGTTTGGCATTATGATCTTTTAGCCAGAAGATTGTTTTCTCATTGTTGGAATAGTGAAGTTATAGGATGAATTGTTCACTTGAAGTCCTGTATCAAGAGGAAATAAATAGCAAACTTTGTAAATTGATTTTGTACTTTCTTTTTATCTTTATACAGTATCATAACAAACATCTGTTATTCAGGATGGGCATCCACCTTTGGGTTGGCAAGATACTGCAGCATATCTTGCTTTACCCATTCTTCTTGTCATTTCTCAATTTGTTTCAATGGAAATCATGAAACCACCTGAGGTAAACACATCAGTTCTCTTCCATTTCATTTTTTTATGATCACAACCTAAAAGATTTCTTTTGACAGACAGATCCTTCTCAAAAGAATCAACTTCTTATTTTAAAGTTTCTTCCACTCATGATCGGCTACTTCTCACTATCTGTCCCATCAGGATTAACAATTTACTGGTTAGTTATTTTAAAAACTATATTGATACCATCTTTTACAGTGTACATATTCTTATTTTTCGTGATTTAGCCATAACTTCAAACATTCTTTGCTTTATTATTGGTTTCAAATATAGTTATCTTGTACACTATCTAGGTATGTCCAATTTGGTAAGCAAACTTTAGTAATTGTGTTTTCACTACACTTTATTTCAGAAACAATTTCCTTGATATGCATGCAACAAAAAAAATACATAGAAAAAATGAACAAGAGCTTAAATTCTTTAGTGGAAATGATAGCATTTAATCAAGTGAATGCTTTTTCATCAATTTTAGATTAGGTAGATGGTCTGGACAGCCTTGCTTGAGTGCTAACGGGAGTAAAACAAAATTTCTTTGCTGATTGGTGTTGCGTTTCTTTTGCTAGGTTTATAAACAATGTCCTGAGCACAGCTCAACAAGTATGGTTGCGCAAATTGGGGGGTGCAAAGCCTGTTGTGAATGAAAATGCCAGTGGGATTATTACTGCAGGACGAGCTAAAAGATCTGACTTGCAGCCGGCAAAAGGCGGTGAAAGGTTAGTGTTTTCTGGTACATGATGCAGGGTTTCGATTGCTGTTGGATAATAAATTGGTGATCTACAGGTTTAAGCAGTTAAAAGAAGAGGAAAAGAAGAAAAAGTTAAGCAAGGCACTGCCAGTGGAAGATGTTCAGCCTCTGGCATCTATTTCTGCTTCTGATGATGGCTCGGACATAGATAGTGACAGCAAGGTATTTCACTTGTGGAGTTTATTATCATGATTAAGAATATTTATAAGTTCAATGTTATACATAGAACAATGTCTAACTATCTTAATTTCCAATCTTTTCTAAGATGAAACATCTTGTTAATTTTCCTGCATATGTGCAAAAATAACTGTCCAGCCATAGATTGAAGTTTGAAATTTTCTTTACCTGTTTTAATTTTTGTGTGACAGTGATGTTAACTAAGGAAAGTAAAGTTAGTCATTTCATGGGCCTTCTACCCAACTTTCTAGCTGAAAAAGTGTAGCTAAGATTGTTGGAATAATTTGAAACGAGGAAGGGTCAGATGGAGATGCAGTTGGGGGAGAGAAAGATGGAGTAACAAGTTGGACGGTCTGGGTGTGAATGGGGGGGAATCTACTATGAAGACAGGATGAGTGGGGAGAGGAGGAGGACGGGGGGAGTTGTAGGAGAAGACGAGAATGTAAACGGGTGAAAAAATATTTAAGTGAATGGTGGAGGTTGAGAGCGCGTGTAAGGGCTGTTAACAGTCCTCTTGGCCATCATCTGTGGTAGCATTTATAGGATTTTCTAATTTCACCTTTTTAGTTGTAGTTCTGTTTTCAGAAGATAAACCATAAACTTTTTAGCACTACCTACTGGTGGTGAGTCTCAAGTGTGGATTGAGAATGCGGAAGTTGAATAATAATAATAATAATAATATTCACGTACAAAGACTCATATATACCTTATGGCTTGAACTTATGAGTTTAACATGGTGTTTAGACTGCATATATGGTTCTTAGCCCGTTGTCGAAGATCTTCCCAGGATCTTCAGCTCTCCTCACTAACCCAACACTATGTCCCTTGTTCCATATACACCTAAAGCCTTGCTATATACGTCACAATGTGAGTGGATATTAAATATGAATACTAAATGAACTCAAATCTAATATCTTAACTGCTGAAAATAAATACCCTGGAAAGAGAATTTCGACCTTAAAATATAATTCCCATGGCTCAGATCGAAAAGGAGGTGTCTTGAAGTCTTGTTTTACTTTTAACAAAGCTGTAGGAAAGTACAGGCGAACGATCTAAAGCACTGCTCTCTTTTTAATTCCTCCCACGCTTTCTTAAAATTACCTGACCAAACCCCTCTCTGATCTCCGTCCCAAATTGTTTCGGAAGCTTGAGATTATACATCTGACCTTTTTTTTCAGACAAAAATTACCAGGACTTATTTATATTTTATTGTTTTGAGATTGTTTAGAATGTTCATTCTAAGATAAAATTCCCAATACTAAGTTACTTTGTTACAGGAACAGGAAGTTGAAGAAGGAGCCTATGCTTCTAAAGTTGGTGAAGAGGTTCAAATTAATTCTAGGGAAAAAAGAAGCAAGCGTTCGAAGCGGAAGCGTGCTGTATAAAGGACCGCCGCATACGGTTGTTTGTAGTTATAGTGAGTTTTGTATATCTCAAGAGATTATACCAGTTTTGGGTTGGCAATTGATTAAATATCCGTAATTTATTCCAGCATAATATCTTTGTTTCGTTGTTAAATTTCTTTCAACCAAGATCCCCCTCCAGGGAAACTAGGGAGCATAAAATCTTGCATTACAAAATTGTTGGCTGCTGACTGTTAACAGTACAGTAGTCCTGTACATCGAAAAGATATTGTTGAATGGAATCAGAATTCATTGTTATAAAATAATATATGATGCGGAATGTATAGACCGGTAGAGCAAAATATGTTTTCCAAATCGGAGCTGAGCTATTAAATCAGGGAAGACATTTTGGTCAAGACCTTGTGTGTCATTTTACATACACTTAGGCCAAGAATTGCTCAAGAAACTTAACACAAAAGCTGGTTAGTTAATAAATAGAGAATTGCTTTCCTTTATGCGAGGTCAATGCATTAGCTGATAAAGTACAAATATTCAATTAATCACCATTTTGTACATACACAATACTCCCAACAGTAGAATTGCTAGTCTATACCAATCCATTGATCTCAAAAAGCTATTGATGTCTCAACTGCACGCCGACGCTGAATCCATGTTTCCAACCTCTATGGTTTAGATGGCGGGCGTTGATTCCCTATTGGGTTAGGCCCCGATGGGCTTTTACGATTCTTTTCATTAACCTGTGATTTTGGTTGTTCAAATCAGAATTTTGTCATGCAAATTAAGTAAAAATATTAATATGTATGTATGTATATATATAATAGTACTCGTATATTTACTAACCCATGAAGGAATGACATTCCCAGTTTGCAGCTGTGGGGTTCTGAGCTTGAAATGAACTGAGTACAGAAGTATAAAATGACGTGAGATAGAATTACTCTCAATTACCATTGCTAAGTCATTTCTCATCAGTTTGTGAATGACAAAATAGACGAACAACGAACATACGGAAGAAAATAGTTTCACAGCTATATGCAAAAGAATGTGCAAATGCAATACCTGACTGCATAGCCTGAACATCGGCAGTGAAGTGATTGAGTGCAGAAGCTGGGAGCAGAAGCCATGCAAAGAGAAGCTGGATGAAGAATTGTCTTCTCATCAGTGGCATACTTGGAGTGAATAAGAGTGCTGCAGTCTTAATGAGAATGTCACGAGCATTTTGCTGCTTTTTATATGCTATATTTTTTGGTATCATATAATCATGACGAAACTTGAAATTTGATGTGAGAATGTTTGTAAAAAGATGCCCTGGAATCCTATGCCATTACGCACTGACTATAAAAGATCGAGGATCTGTTTTTATCCTCATTATGGATTGACTTCTAATCCGTTATCATTTCTCTGTTATCATTGTTTCCATGATAATTTTACAAGTACTTGCCATTATTTTTCTCTTGAGTGCTTCGCCGTTATGTCGGCATCCTTTATATATATATAACCCTTCAAAACCTTTTTTATAGAATTTGAGTTGGGCATCTACAAATGCTTGATGGTTGGATTATTCTTTCTAGGAAAATGACACTTCAACAACCATTTTTGACAACATTTAGACACGCGCACACGTGTCAAAATCTGATTTGTCCATTTTTATTTATTTTTTTTAATTGGACCACTCAGATTTTGACACGTGTGCGCGTGTCTAAATGTTGTCAAAAATGGTTGTTCAAGTATCATTTTCCTTCTTTCTAAGGTTAAGTTTGTACCAAAATTGGTAATTTCACATAGATATGCTAACCTGTTTTAAATTTTTTTGCTTAAGATAATTATGTTAAATACTACCTTAACATATTTACTAAATATTAAGTAAAAAGTCATTGAACAAAATTGTGAGGTTTAAACTTTACCTATTTAACTCCTTTTATATCTACGTTATATATGATCATTCACTGTTATATGATCATTCACTGAATAAGAAGTGTTACATTAGATAAATGTTTTTATCCAAAATTTGTTATATAGAACTATTGGGTATATAAAAATAAGTCTCTAGTAAAGATAACATCGTGAATATCAAACATTTCGTTCGAAGTATTGTTTTTCTTTGCAGCCTAAAAATTAAAGGAGAAAGATGTGGTTAAATTACTTTTATTTTCAAAATTATGTCAGTCTAATAATAATAACAAAAGGTTCAAAAATTTTAATTTATTTTAGACTTAAATGCTTACTTCGTTCTCATGTTAAGACGTGAATTTATGTTTAGTACTCGGTTTTAAAAATAAAGACATTGGGTCCCTATATCATGAAAAGTGTATGAACAAGGTCTTGTTCGTTAAGTTGCCAGCAACGACGTTAAGTTCATGCTGATGCGGTCATACTTTTTCTCTTCTCTCTTCTACTGTCCAACTTTCTCTCTCTTGCTTACCTTTTTCTTTGATGATTTGTTGAACTTGTGAAAGTGGTCTTATTTCAAATAAGTGAAAGTGGTCTTATTTCATCCCACCCTTGTATTTCCAATACTAGGTGTATTTTGCTTGCAAACATTATTCGTTGGTCACTGAACTTGCTTTCTCTCTACGTTTGTAAGTTTATGTAAAGAAGCTGACTATGTGCTATAGCTAGTGATTAGTGTTAGCTGACTTATGTGAGACATGATGAAAATCTTTAGTTACAAAGTCAAGGGTTATTATGATTGTTTGAATTGTAATTAAATCAAATCTAAATGCTACCAAAACAGATGTGCCAAAAATGTCATGGCAGTCACCCAAACATACCATTGTGTGGCCTTTAACCTCTTAAATAAATTCTAAATTAACTTTACTTTTCAATTGAACATCAATATTTCATTCTTAATTTTTCCTACAATTAATTTATTTCTCCATTTCTTTTTAAGTATTAGATTTTTCAAGGGTTTTGTTCTATTTATTTAATGTTTAGAAAGTTCAAAATCGTGTTAATTATATATATATATATATATATATATATATATTACAAGGTTCAATGATTATTCTATTAACAAAGTAAAAATTAACACAATAATATATAAACGTGAAAACTCCAAAATCGAAATATAATCATCACCGTTTTTTTTATGACAATTAGATAATAACACTATATGAAGATTTGTACAACACATAGGCTACACTCTCGTGTTTTTTGATTCCAAATACACTCACATTTTAAAAAAAAGAATTTAACTCAAATCTTACAATACTATACTCTAATAATATAAGAAAAGTTAAATATGAGCTTAAAATGTCTTTGATTGAAATAATAAACACTATAGATTTAGAGTCCATTATATAATCACCAACACTCACTTCTTATCTTATCCTACATGAAATGAGATTTTCCAATACGTAAATATAGCAATCGCAAAAGTAAATACGAGTGGACAAACAATAGTTATTATTTACCTAATTAATTTAATAATTTATATATATATTATAGGACTATAATGTGCATCATAGTGAAATTTGGGATGCAGGAAGAAAAAGTGAGGTGCAGAAAGAAAACCCACTATTCGGTTACAATGAATCTATGTTCATATGAGTCCACGGTCAATCCAATAACTGGTTGGGCCTTATTATTTCACCACTTTTATATTAATCTCAGGCTTCATTTTTTTTCTCTATGTGCTCCTAGAATTTTTAACTGCACGCGTAACTTTTAAAATAATCATTTTACCATTTGTAAAAAAAATTAGGTTTAGATTACTTTTTCAGAAAATGAATTTAAAATAAATTTTTAAAAATTTTCAAAATATATTTTTGAAACAAGATTTTCAAATAAGGTTTCCATACCTCATGAAATGCAATTTGAGGCGAGTTTTTCATAACATAATTTTTTAAACAAATTTTCTGAGATATACAAGATACCTTCCTGAACTAGTTTTCTAGAACACACGATAAACATTCCATAACGAGCTTTTTTCTAAAACAAGCTTTTCATAATAAATGATAACTTTTGAAACAAGCTTTTTTTCCAAAGCAAGTTCTCGATCCTTTTCTTCCTTGCAGTGGATAATGGAACTGTATCAGCAATGGTGCTAGTGGCAGTGACATGGTGGAATGAGGGAGGGTATTTTAATTACTTTTGTTATTATGAAGGTGCAGTTAATAATAATAGGGGTGGAAGAAGAAAATAATGCAGGTGCAGTTAACAATGAATGGTAATGAATAGATTGTTGAATGTGATGTTATAGCGATGGAAATGATGATTTATAGTGATTTTTAAGGGAGAGAATTTTATTTTGTATGATTCACTGTGATGTGCTTTAAGGTAAATATCTTTTCATTACATGAAATTATTATGATTTTACGAGTTTGACTCAAATGGATATATATAGATAAATCGAGTCTGATTATGTCTATGATATCGTCTAACGATGATAATTATATATAATGTGTAAATTTTGTTTACACGTATATATGTTTTAGCTAATTTACTCTTTATATCTAAAAAATCAACTGTGTGTTGTTTTTTTTTTATAATAATCACTTTATTAGTGTAAATAAATGAAGATGTACATGTAAATATATAAAGAGTAATGAGACTATGACACTTTTACATTCATTTGACACAAGTTACAAAAATAAAATGATAAAAAAGTGTAAATTTTTGTATTGTTTCAAGAAAGAAAAGAATAAAAAGTAAGGGTAGTGTCAAATTAATGTAAAATATTTAGGTATATCAAAGAATCTTTACTCACATATAAAGGATAATGATACTATAACAACATTTTTTTGACAACATTTTAACATGATCTACGTGTCATTATGTGATTGCTCCAAAATTACTCCACAATCGATAATAATAATCATAAACATCAATATGAACCAATCACAAAATGACATGTAGATGATGTTAAAATATTGTAAAAAAATGTTGTGAAAGTATCATTATCCATATATAAATACGCATATAAAGGATAAGGAGTAAGTTTATCACTTATTGATGATAAGAGAGCGTATGTTATATTATTTTAGAATAAAATTTTGTTGATCTAATAATTTAGATATATAAATGTTTTATTATTGTAGTTTTATATTTTGGATGATTGAATTAATATACTTTATGCTTTATATTTCATGTTTTCTGAATATTAATTATATAATGTTTTATTTTAGTAATTTTTTTACTATTAAAATAAAATATTACACTTTATAAAACTTCTTTTAAAATATGTGTATTTATTTAAATATATAAAATTGTAAAAACATTTTATAGTAACGTTATATTAGGCACTAATGGAAATTTTCTAGAACAATGCTTTACTATTTATTCGATACGTAATCCTTTAACAGGTATAAAATAATGCTGAAATTCAAGAAGGAAGAAATACAAAAAATTCATAAGACAAAATCTAAATTTACTCATTTTAAAAACTGAAAATAAACATTTAAGCACTTTTCATGTTAAAACATACATGTTTTGGAAAATTTAAATTGAACTATAAACTTACAGTTAAATAGGAGTTTATGCTGTTAAAAAGTTAAATAGTTAAAAACATGCTAAGAAATTAATCTTTATTTTATATAAGTGTTATAGTGTCCTAAAAAGTAATAAATACGAATTAAAATAATTTGTATTAAAAATATTTTTATCAATTTAAATAATTTTTCTCTATTAATTCGTCCTTGTTTCTCTTTTATTAAAATCCATTACGAAAAAGGTATTATAAGCACTTATAAAAAAGTATGTGGGGATAAAAAAAGGATGCAAATGAATTTGTCATAGTTTAGTAAGTTGGTCACAACAAAAACGTTTTTGAAGAATGGAGAGGATAACAAGCTAGCACTATTTACGAGGTCCTCGATATCTAAACTTTTTTCACCTAACCAAAGTTAAGAAAAAAAAATTACATACAAATATAGAGTTTAATAAAATGAATATTATTAAAGAAAAAGTTTAAACTTAATTCGAGAATAACACCAATAATTCATATTTCTAGCAAATACCATCATTCTATTACAACACACAAATCATAACATTAAAAAAATTGAAAAATAATTTTATTCATAAATTTAACTTCCCGTTTTAGTGAAATATATTATATACATTAACAATATAATATTTTTAGTAACTTTAATCATTACAATTATTATAAAGTGAGACACCTACATCCTAGAAAAACATAATATGAATTTTGTACGATAATCTTAAACTTTTGACAAAATTATAGTTTTTTTATTCATCCAGTTTTAGCCAAAGACTATGGGAGTGTCGCTCGAAGGTTCCAGGCCCTTAGTTTGCAATTCCCACTCTTCCCTTTTTTCTGTTATATCAATTTTGCCCCTTCTTTTTCTCCACATTCGAAATTCAAAATTCAAAATTTCAACGCCGTTTAAATGTACAGGGAAAGGGCAATT